CTGTGTCTGTTCCCTCAGCCCACTGCTGAGGTAATGGTGTGAGGGTCTCTGGCAGACTGGCTTTGGAGGATGGATCTGGCCTAGAGCTGGCAGGAGCCAGAGAAGCCCAGGTTCTCAGAGCCCGCTCCCGCCTCTCTCCTGCCTCTCCAGTTCTACATGAGAACCAACTGACCCACACAGACTTGAAGCCAGAGAACATCCTGTTTGTGAATTCTGAGTTTGAAACGCTCTACAATGAGCACAAGGTATTGATGGGGAGAGGGTGAGGCCCCACTGCAGAGCAAGGTTACCCCTTGGGACAGAGTTCTGATCTGGCTCTCCTTCCTTGCCTCTCAGAGCTGTGAGGAGAAGTCAGTGAAGAACACCAGCATCCGAGTTGCTGACTTCGGCAGTGCTACCTTTGACCATGAGCATCACACAACCATTGTGGCCACTCGTCATTACCGCCCACCTGAGGTGATCCTTGGTGAGTGGCTATACAGCCCCTAACCCAGATAAAGTGGGCTCTTGCTGGGAGGGAATGAACAGAGGCAATGGTGTGCCTGCCTGCCGCCCACTGGCAAGCAGTCACTATGGTTGTCAACTTGGCCTGGCAGAGAAAGGGACCTTTACTGGGGTTTGGGCAAGAGTCCTGTCAACCAGTGTGGCAGCTGCCTTGTGACCTCTAGGGTGAGAGCACAGAGCCTCATAGCTTCTCCATTTTGGCTTTCAGAGCTGGGCTGGGCACAGCCCTGTGACGTCTGGAGCATTGGCTGCATTCTCTTCGAGTACTACCGGGGCTTCACACTTTTCCAGGTAAGGCCCCTCCCACACTGCCCTGCTACCCTGGGTGCTCATACTCTAGCAGGCCACAGGGGCCTGGTGTGGGAAGACCATCTGAGGCCCACCAGGATTGAGAGTCATAGATCAGAGAAAGGAAGAGGTCAGAATAGCTGAAGCACTCAGGGAGTCTTAAGCTCAGCCATCAAGGATGAAGGGTTGGGGCTCAAAGAGTGAATATTTGAGGCATGAGGCACAGCATAAGTGAGGGTGTGGAGATGGGCTGGGGCAGTTTGCGTTCTTGGGAGAGAGTGAGAAACATGGCCTTATCCTTGGCAAATGGTAACAGGCTGCTGCAAGGCCACAGAAACTGGGAAGGCACTTTTTTGTCTCTTATCCTCCCTGAGGGGCTGAGGCTTGTACTGAACCCTGCTTGCTCTATCCCCGACCTTCCATAGACCCATGAAAACCGAGAGCATTTGGTGATGATGGAGAAGATCCTAGGGCCCATCCCATCACACATGATCCACCGTACCAGGTAAGGACCCCTGGCCCATAGATCTTTCCCATCTTGCTTGTGGGTCAAAAAGCTACTGCACAGTCTTTGCAGAAGATGCTGTGGCTCACCCAGGCTCATAGCTTTACCTGTATGCTCCTCCGAGTGACCTGACAAACCTGCTGCCCTGCTGGGTCAGACTAGGACTCCCTGCCTGGCTTTGCTGCCATTCCCCAGGCTCCTGCTATCTTCCCCACCCACACCCACACCCACAAATGATTCCCTCCGTTCCTTCCCTTTCAGGAAGCAGAAATATTTTTACAAAGGGGGCCTGGTTTGGGATGAGAACAGCTCTGATGGCCGGTATGTGAAGGAGAACTGCAAACCTCTGAAGGTCAGTTTCTGGCTTCCCCCAGGTCAACTCATGCCAAGGCACTGGGCACACATATAGCAGAGAGACAGGCCAGGCAGCTAAAGGCTGCCCCTTTGCCTGGCACAATGAGAGGCTGCTGGGTGCTGGCAATGGGGCTTCTTTCAAATTGCTCCAGAAGGGTTCTTAGCCCTACCCCTTCCCAACAGGGTGGCTATGAATGTAATTGGGGAACACCAGAAGAGACAAGTATCAGAGACCGTGCTACTTCCAGCCCCCCTCTTCTCTCAATTTTGGGAAGAACTAGGCAGGACTGAGGTGAGGGGGAGGGAAGACTAGACATGACGAGGAAGCCTCTGTCAACTGCATTTGGTGCATTGACAGGTGATTTCTACCTACCTGTCAGGACTTTGCATGTGTGGGCAGAGGCACCAAACCAGCAAAACAGCCAGTAGCCTGACAAGTTCAGAGCAAAATGCTTTAACAGGCATAAAAGAATGGAGCCACTCACTGTCCAAGAGGGCAGTCAGTCCTCCAGGAGGCATCATTGCCTCCTCAACTCATGCAGCAAGGCTTGCCACGCCCCTGCCATCACACTGAGATACCTTGTGTCCCTGAGCAGAGTTACATGCTCCAAGACTCCCTGGAGCACGTGCAGCTGTTTGACCTGATGAGGAGGATGTTAGAGTTTGACCTGCCCAGCGACACTGAGATACCTTGTGTCCCTGAGCAGAGTTACATGCTCCAAGACTCCCTGGAGCACGTGCAGCTGTTTGACCTGATGAGGAGGATGTTAGAGTTTGACCCTGCCCAGCGCATCACCCTGGCGGAGGCCCTGCTGCACCCCTTCTTTGCTGGCCTCACCCCTGAGGAGCGGTCCTTCCTCACCAGCCGAACCCCCAGCAGATGACAGGCACAGGCCACTACATGAGGGGATGGAACTGGGCTGCCTGGCCCTCTCTCTCCAACTCCTAACCACTGGGCCCCAGGGCCAGAGCCACCCAATGAACAGTGCAATGTGAAGGAAGGCAGGTGCCTGCAAGGGCAGAGACATGCCCAGCTGCCAGAAAGCACAGATTTGACCCAAGCTATTTATATGTTGTAAAGTTATAATAAAGTGTTTCTTACTGTTTGTAACCCCTGGTACCAGTGCGTCGTCTCCAGGCTCCTTGCCTTCTCCCTTCCCCATCTTATTAATAAAGTCTTTCTTAGCAGTTCAGCTTGTGGAGAGCTAAGTATGAACTGGGCCAGGCACAGGACCAACCAGTGAAAAGACCAGAAGCTGGGGTGTTCCTTTGGGCCCAGAAGGGCAATTTTAGCCTTTAGCCTGCTGCACATAGGCCCTGCCTTGCACCTGTTTCCCACTGGCCTTTATATAAAGGACTTTAAGGGGAAAGACCTGCTGTAATTCACCAGGGGCAATCTAGTTTTACTGGCTGTATGTGCCCCAAAACTATGGCTTATGAAGGCTGTCAAGCATGGGACAAGGCGGGCTCCTAGGGCTCCGGTGGCAGTATCTCCCTGCAGCCTATAGAGCAGAACTTACCAGAGCACAGGACTGTGTCATTCAGCTTTATTTTAGTGCTGGTTTTTGGTCCCCCAAGAACTACTTGAATGAATCTTGACTACCTGATTGGGGCCCCTTGGGGACTGGGCACTGTGGGCAGGATGCCTCTGACTGGGAAATGCCCAGCTGAGGGCACAGTGCCACCAGGGGAGAAAAAAGAGGCTTGAGCATAAATTCCCAGTGGCCCCTCAAGGCCATTCCCCCTAGGCCACAGCAATTTACCAGAGCAAGCTCTTTTGGGCCAGGGTTGTCCTAGCTCATTTTCCACTGTACCCAGTCAAGGGACCTAACCACATTAATAGGCAGCCAGAACTGCTTAGTGATTGCTTACCAAAATGCCTGTAATCCAGCACAGAGTGTGGCCCTGTGACTAAAAAGAGGGCCCAATCTTGGGAGCTGCTTGGTCCTGAGAGTGAGCAGAGGCCAAGGGAGGATACACAGCACAGGGCTGACAATCTGTTCTCCCACTGCTGGAAACAATTGAACATTTGTGGAAGGATGGGAAGAAGAGGGACCAGCCCTCTCTGCCCTGCCTCATTTGTTCCTGGCTATGCTCCTATAGGAAAGTGATAAGCAGCCTGAAACCAGTGCCTGCCTACCTGTGTCCATGATCCTTGGTGAGCTTTCCCACTCACCCCTTTAATCAGACTGGGTAGGCACAAAACATAAGGCAGTCTGAAGCCCTGAGAAAGGCTTTAAAGCACAAGTCTTCTGCAAGGACTGCTGCCAGGAACTCCAGGGCATGGCTCCTATCAGCCCCCAGGGCCTAGGCCTGCGAAGGTAGGGCAAACATGTCAAACTCAAGGCCGGCAGGCCGCATGCCTCATTTAAGCCAGCCGTGAGTTTGATATGCTTGGTAGGGGCTTAGTGCCTTAGGATCTGAGCAACAGTGTGTTTCTATGGCTGAGCCCCACCAGCTAGCTTACCCAGAACTGGCCTCATTTTGGCATCTCTGAGATAAGGCTCTGGTCCCAAGCCTATTCACATTGGACAACCAAAAAGGGTTCCAACAAGGGAGGGACATGTGCCCTGCTCTTGGATGATAGATACAGGGGGGGAAAAACAGTAGGGCTATGTATGTGCTGGCAAAGAGGTGGCCTAAGACAGAAGCACCACGGAGCCTCTACTGGCTCAGCACCAGGGGCCTTGCCTCAGACTAAGCAG